CTTGCATGAATGGCACCAAAAAGCAAGATGATCAAACGAAATAAAATGTACACAATAGAAGATTTTCGATCTGCAGTTAACAGTTACTATCAAAAATAATAGAATTAAGTATAAAAAACAAAATACATACTTAAAAGAATAATTTTCATTTGAATCAAAAGTTTGTTGATGTCTGCTTCGTTGAAAACAGCTATGACCCGGAAACAGTTCATTTTACTGTGTGCACCCTGATACTATGTAACGATGCTTTTGATTGGCTAAAGCCACGCATTGATGCGAAAAACAACCAGAATATTTGTTCCAAGAAGAACACAAGTAAATTTATTTCCTCCACTTATGATGCGAGTTGAAAGCATGGCCGTTTTAATGGGGTTTTTAAATCACGATTTAAAGAAAATTCAACTTTAAATAGTGACATTTAAATATAAACATTTACAGCAGTGATCAGCAATGTCTGTGATGGTACCGTATTTATCCGGGTATAAGCCCAGGGTCTTGAACATGGAAAATTGCCAAAAAGAAGGGGTGGGCGTTTGCCAGGAGATCCCCGGCAAAAAAAAGAAAATTCACGAAAATTGACAACACGCAGATCGAACTGCGGCAGGGAATAGAACGGCAAATGAAAACATGCAACGGAAATAAATGAACAATATGCAACACTAGAAGTAAAACAAAAATAATGTATTGCTTATAATGTGACAAATAAACCAGATTGAGAAATAATAAAAATCGACAGTGAGGAATCATTTGAATTAGGATTTTCCCACCGACAAACACACCCAATACGCATGAACTAAAAATGAATTAAAATGTCAGGAGTTAAACTGCGTAAAATGATTTCCGGTCTCGACAAATTACGAATCAACCGTCATACAAGATCAATAATAATTTACAAATTTACACAGTAAAAATTATAAAAATTCATAGCTGTTTGAAAAAAAACTTCTCAGATCTTTATTTGTACGTTCATTGCCATCTTCGTCAAACTCAAAACCCTCAAAGTCCAAGTCGGCGTCACTGTAGCCGTCGAACAAAATCCCTACAACTTATTCCTGAAGTTCGTCGATATCGTCCCATTTGCACTTTTAATCTACAGATTTCGCAGTCTGTCAGCTTGGCACTTTTCATTCATGTCTAATCATAATAAAGAGACAAGAAAAATGGGGTCGCTCTGCTGCGATGGCACACGATGCTTTTGTTTATAGTCTGGCAATCATCTTTGTCCTTTATGCATCTGCTTTACTGATTGGCTAAGAATGACATCACTACTATTATTTCATCATAAAGGTCAAATCGTGACATTGCTTTCTTATCAGACTCGACGCTTATCAATCACGGTGAAAGTTATCGTTCAGCAAGTTCCGGTGGTTGGAATGACTCACTATATGGATATTTCGGTGGACTTGAAATAGGAAGTTTTTTTTTTATGCAACAACAGAAGAATAGTTTTCATGACAGAAATGCAATAGCGGTGATGAAAGATGGTAAAAAAGTTGGCAGTCTTCGGCGTGACAATGCAAAATTGCTGGCCCAGTTATGGATTCGCAAGCTGCTACAAAATATTTTATACAAAAATAACGTGATTTCCACTCTCCGAGGTACGGGTTGCTACAATATTGCAACATTGGTTTCATTGTCGATGTTGCCGCTACAAGTCACTGCATGAGCTTGGTTTTAACCATAGACCTTACGTTTTAACAAATGGTTTTACCGATAACGATTTTATATATTTGCATCACCCTGGCAGTAAAAATGTGGGTACGGTAATGCACTTTTCCAGACCACATGTTCATTTTTAATCGTGTTATCACCTCACCTGACCTGCTACGATAACAAGCCGGAATTTTCACAGTTGCACCTTAAAACAATGAACCAGTTACCCTGAGCATGATGAATACTGTAAAGGGGGTAATTATTCACTGGGTTTTAATTTAGCTTATTTCGCTGACTGGAAAAATGCGCTAAATTAAAACACAGTGAATATGTAAAATTTAGCATAGAACACATTATCTAAATGACGAAACCGTGAATTTAAAACCCACTGAATATGCCTGAAATGGTAAATCAGTGAAATTTAAACCCAGTGAAAATTAGTCATTTTACAGTAGTTTCGGAAGACAATGAGTGATGGCCTGTTTTGTAAACAATTCTTTGTCTGGGACCATGCAGGGCGCACAGGAAATATAACAGGGCGCTGACAATTTAAACAGGGTGCCAATTTCAGATAACAGGGCGCGGCGCCCTGTTAAAACCCATGGTAGAGAACACTGAACAAATACATGTACATATATTATTGATTTTGGAATAAAAAGTGATAATGTTTGCACTATGTGCATAATGTGATTATGCCGTCACACTGTAGGCAAAGGTAATGTTCGTTTTGTGAACATGAACATTTTTTACTAATATTGGTTTTCAGGAGTATTCACGACATGAGCAAAGGTCAGAGTGTTCATAGACGAAGGGACAGAAGTATATCCTCCGAAAGCTCATCTCCTCATAAAAACCGTGATCATTTTCGAAGCAGAAGTCGAAGTCGTTCTCGATCTAAAAGTAAAGTAAGAAGTGATTCTACCGAAAAGACTTTAATCCATAGTACAAATAGCAAAGACCCAAAGGACATAAATTCTCGTGTTTTTATCGGGCGTTTGCGTTCAACAGTTACTCGGCATGATTTAGACGCATTGTTTAGTTTATGCGGTAAAGTTACAGGTAAAACAAAATTTATTTGTATTGTGCACATTTGTGTCAACAACTGATATTTACAGTTGTGTTTATCAGTTATTGAAAGGGGTGTCTTAGGGTATCGTGTGTGCATGAACTTGTTGGTGGTTGAGAGTCAAGTACAGCCAAATTTATACATGAAGTCAAGCCCTTAGCACTAAAGTGATGCTGAACTGTTGCTGACTATTGCGTTGGTTGGCATCCTTCACAAATCATTTTTATTAGCCCAGATGAAATGGATGAATATTGACATTCAGGCTATCATGATTTCAGTAATCACATACATTTAAAGTGTTGAAAACATGTAGATACACTTGTAAATGTATTAGCAAAAACATGTGAAGTAAAATTATAGATGTTACTTAGTGCAACATTATACTATCATGGCTTATGAAATTACCACACCACTCACATATATTATTTATTTGACAGGAATCTCTGTACACAAACGTTTTGCATTTGTACAGTTTTCTAATAAGGAAGACGCAGAACGTAGTGTTGAGAAGTATAATAATTCTTTCATACATTCAGGCTTAGTTGGTAAGTTTTCTCTCTAATTAGAATAATGTTTTTAAAAGCACAGTTTCTTGCAGAGAGGTCTTATTGAGGATAACTTCGAATGGATATCATTGAATAAAATAACTTGATTTTTGTTGATGCACATGTGCATTTACAGACCTTTCCTTTTGAAAATCAACTTTCATCACATTTTTTTGAAGATTTTAATCAAGATTTTTAGCCTTTGTGAAATTATGACCACTTAATCTAAAATAAAAAAAGAAATAAGGTCATTACAAAATGACTGCATTCAATGTGTTAAAGTTGGAGACCTATTAATTTATTTCTAGTGTGTAATCTTGCTGGTGAGAGACAGAAAAATCAAGAATCTGCAACAGTTATGGATAGAGACCGTGATAGAGATCGAGGAAGCAGAGAAGGCAGCAGAATTCTGTATGTATTATGTCCTGTTACGTAGCATTTATAACATGGATATAAATTCAGTTACATCCAATTTTTCTGAGGAATATGATAATAAAAATTAAGTGATTTAAAAAATAATTTTAACGGTGTAATAATGCTAAGCAGTCAGAATTTAGACATTTTCACAATGGACGTAAAATGACATTTTGGTGCTTTGTCTAGATGTATCTACATATATCTTAATTATTGTTTAACCCTTTCACCACCAGTTTCCTTTTTTCATCACAACTCTACAAAATAGTCCCACTTATAATTTGATTATTATACTCTGAAGTAAACCTGAATGAGAATATGAAAACGTCAACATTAATTTTGACAAGTTCGATATGCTGAGCAAACAAGAAATATTTCTTGCTAAATACCTGGTATTTATGTTTTGTACAAGTCCATAGAAAATGTAGCAGCATACAGCAATAAATGTTTCTAAGCATGTTTTGGTTTTAATTTCAGTGACTATGACAGATTTGATCATTATGACAGACCTTATGACAGGCCAACATCTCGAGAGCGTTCACCATTACGTGATCCTTATGCTGACCGATATAGAGGAAGAGATACAGAACTAGATCGGAGGTGAGTTTTTGATAACAGAGGCTAAAACCTATTTTACTCAAATTGGAAACTGACGATTGGATGCCATCGTCCCGAATCGCACGGTCCTGTGTTTTTGACCTATAGGCCTCTACACTATGCAGTGCAGGATCGCATAGGCTAATTGCAGTGCAGTGAGATCTGATTGGGTGCTCCTCGAAACAAGATGAGGCTTGAGGGCACCAACACCGAAAACTTTCGCAATCTTATCATCACAAATATCACAATTCATGGGCGCTGCCATTTCGTTTAAAATGAAACGCCAAAGAGGGATTTTGTAACACGCAAACTGATTGGACAATGATTAGCCGCAACTGACTACTAGGGGCGCTGTTAGAATCCGCATATTTGATGTTTGTTCTGCCAAGGTCTGTTTAGAGGCTTGGCCAAATAAACTTACACCTTGGCTAGCGAAGATGATTGGATGCTTGCTACAAATTTTTTGATTTCATGTAAATGAGTGGAAGATATTTTATACACATCAAATTTGGTGTGCATGTCATTCAATTCACTGTCATGATGCAATTTTTACTTGTAAGTTCTTAACATACAATGACTAGGTTGTTACCAATGATTCAATATACATGTACGAACGACTGATAAACTACAGGGACTGATAAGGCATAATAATGATTGTAATAGAAATAACTGCAATAAAAATAACAATTTTTTACTATCATGTCTTGTGTTGCTTGAGAATCCTGTACTATTCTTTCCCTTCAAGTGTATGAAGTTGTTACTTAGTATTTAGTACATGGAGGTTACACGAATAAAGTATTCACAAAGTTAGTTTCTGTTCTCCTTAGAAAGAATGTCAAACTTGTGGTATAAAGTCCTTGTGAATCACAATTCATTGAGGTCTGTTACAAGTACATGAATGATTGGACAAACTGTTATACTAAGTTCCCATAAATAAAAAAATATATATATCGGGCTCATGTTATTCTATTGGTGATGACATGGTTGATCATTAGGAAGAGAAATCACATTGAGAAA